AGGCTTACCTGGAAGAGGTTTAGGAAGTGTTCCCGTCTTTAACACTCAGATGCTCAACTTCCAATGGGGTCCAAACCCCAAATAAATGTGTTTTACCCTGTATAAAGCTTATACTGGGTAAAATCATAGATTGTTCGCCCTCTATAACACTGATAGAGAGATATGCACAGCTATCCCTTCTCCCCCCGGTACTAATACATACTGCGGGTTAATTAATAAGTAAAAAGTGATTTTATTAAGTACAGAAAGTAGGATTTAAGTGTTTCCAAGTAGTAACAGACAGAACAAAGTGAATTACCAAGTAAAATAAAATAAAACACGCAAATCTACGTCTACTGCAGTAGTAAAACTGAATACAGGTAAAACCTCACCCTCAGTGATGTTCCAGTGCTTCCTTTTACAGACTAGTCTCCCTCTAGTCTGGGTCCAGCAATCACTCCCCCCTCCCCTCCTCCCCCTGTAGTTACTGTCCTTTGTTCCAGTTTCTTTCAGGTATCCTTGGGGGTGGAGACGCTATCTCTTGAGCCAGCTGAAGACAAAATGAAGGGGTCTCCCAGGGATTTTTATAGACTTTCTCTTCTGGGTGGACACCCCTCCCTCCCCCTGTGTAGAATCCTGTTACAAAATGGAGTTTTGGAGTCACATGGGCAAGTCACATGTCCCTGCAAGACTCAATTCCTTACCAGCCAAGCCACATTCCTGGGAAAGCTCAGGTGTGGATTGGCGTCTCCAAATTCATTGTTGGCTCAAGTGGTTCTTGATTGGGCACTTACTGAGAATAGTCTTTTCTCAGAAAGCTGACCAAATACTTTTACTAAGGCTACTTAGAAATCAAGCAAGTATACAGCCAATATTCATAACTTTGAACACAAAAATGATACATGCATACAAATTGGAGGCATATATTCAGTAGATCATAAGCTTTACAGAGATATGTTACATGGCATATGTAGCATAAAACATATTCCAGTTATGTCATATATATACATTTGTAAGCACATTTCCCTAAAGCCTTATGGGGTCCACCGTCACACCCCCACTCACAGCTGAAGTCACTGACGCCTGGGTGGAACCTCAAGAGACTGAAGTGGCAGCAGAAGATGGTGGAGTGGCAACTGTGATCAGCAGTGAAAGTGTTGCTTGATGTTTCTCCCCTCTGAGTGGGAGGTGATCTCATGAGAATGCACCTCGGGATCTGGGTCTCCACTGACTAAGGACTGCCCCTGTGAGGGGGAGAGAGAGGGGAGTAGCTGCTTTCCACCTTCAGATTCTCAACCAGTTCCTCCCTGTTTGTCAGAATCAAACCTAGAATAGCCTCTCCCCTAGTCACTTTCTCCACCTCCCGTAATAAAAAACTCGTCTCCAGCAGAGCAGGTCCCATGGGAACCTGAGCTTCTGTAACCAGTCACGTCTCACTTGCCCTTTCCTCTGCAGACACAGAGTCAGCTCAGCCCAGAGAAGTTGGGCTCTGCACGATGAAGCTCCTCCAGCAACAGCTCCCAGATGGGCCAAGACTCCCAAAGGGACAAAGCCCAGCCTTGTCCTCATTCACATCTCCTGTCCTTGGGGATCTTGTGAGGGCTGTAGGACAAGAACCCTGTTCCTGCTGGCTTTAGGAGAGAGGTGGCTGGAGGCATCTGGACATCAGGAAACCTGGAGGAAGAGCAGGGGCATATTCCCACCAGTCACTGCTGCTCCATGGGAAATACGCTCTGTGCATCCCCCCAACTAGCCACCAGGTGTCACTGCTGCTCCCATGGTCGGGAGGGGTTTAAAGTTTAAGGTCCAATGGACGTGTCCCCGCACACGTGCCCCCACTTCTGACAGCATCAGAGCAGGACGGGGGTTGAGCCCCAGGGACCCTGATTCTCCTGCAGCCACAGACTGTGAGCGAGGGGCTGGGAGGCAGAACAAACTGGATCAGCCGCTCAGGGGCCCATTGGTCGGGGCTGTGACAGATGCGCCCTGAGACAGTAGCTGGGGAAGGTGTTGAACTGTAAACGTCTGTCCCAGCTCACCCCGTCCTTCCTCTTCCCTCTGCCAGCAAAGTTCTTCTGTTTAACCCTCTGTTGACTGTGTTGGTGAGTGGTTGCCGCTTTGCCCAGCAAAGGTGCCCAGAGGGGATACAGGTTCCTAGGTTACTGGGTGGGGGCTCGAGTCACAGTGAAGAAACTGCAGAGAATCTCCCAAGGTAAAGACCTGACCCTTGTTGCTGGCGATGCTGCTGGTTCAGGGTTTCGCTTCTTCTCCTCACAAACACCCTACGGATGCATTCCTCACCCCTCGTTAAACCCCCAGTTAGTGACACTCGGAGGGAAGAGCTCCTTTCTAGTCAGAGCAATGCCCTTAAACCATGGGCCTTTAGCAACGGCAAAATTCAGAGACATGGGCTCTTAGTCCAGATTAAACGCAAGTCTATTATAATTGAAATATTAAATCATTTCTACAAGACAAGAGCGGCCTGCTCTGGGGGTGCGAAAGGGGAGCAGAACCGGACCGTGAATCATTATGAGAACAAAAGCAACAAATCAATGGGTCATTGAGGGAAGGCAGAGGCTGATGCACTGGCTATACAAGTGGCCAACCCAGCGGCAATGTATCGGAGTCTCCAGTTGCTCAAATGAATTGTTCAGTCATCGGCTCTTATAATAAACTACATAATCGGCTCACACTGAGAAAGCAAATCAAGGGTGTCCATAAACGCAGCATCAAACACAAAAGCCTCTCTCCTCACAAACTCCCCAGCCGTGAATGGGAGCACAGCACAGAGTATAAGTGACAGCTGCCACTCAGCTAGGTAATTATCAAGCATCCAACATGGGTTTATCAGCCAGACACATCTTGACCCTTCTCCATTTAAATCCAGGGCCATTCACAGGATTACTAGCACAGCCAGACCCAGGTGCTTCCCTGGACAAATCTACCTTTGCATAAGGGGCTGGTTAAATCTATGAGCATAGGGACAGAATTACAAGGATCAGTCTAAGCATTTCTTAATCTATTCTTGTCTCAAAGGAGAACCTAGGACCCCTGTCAGGAGATGGCCCTGTTGCGCTAGGTGCTGTACAGACAGAGAACAAAAGGATGGGCCCTGCCCCCGGGAGCTGACAATCTAAGACTAGACCCAGCAGGCGGTGCTCCTGGCTGACAGGGGAGCAGGGAGAGGGTTGGGATAATGCAATGGGCAGCGCTCCCAGAGCTCCAGCCGCGGGCCATTGTCGAGTTATCCGGAGGGTCCATGGCAGGGGTGACGCTGAAGGAAGCGTTTGCAGGAGGTCAGTCCAGGGGCTCTGTGGGAGGTTACAGAGTAACAGCAGTTAGTCTGTATTCGCAAAAAGAAAAGGAGGACTTGTGGCACCTTAGAAACTAACCAATTTACGGACACACACACACAAACTCACTCCGCGGACACACACACACAAACTCACTCTCCTGAGAGTGAGTTTGTGTGTGTGTGTCCGTCCCCGGAAAAAAAAGGGGGTGGGGTGGGGGGGGGTGAGAAAGCCTGGATTTGTGCTGGACATGGCCCACCTTGATTATCATGCACATTGTAGGGAGAGTGGTCACTTTGGATGAGCTATTACCAGCAGGAGAGTGAGTTTGTGTGTGTGGTTTTTGGGAGGGGGGTGAGGGGGTGAGAGAACCTGGATTTGTGCTGGAAATGGCCCACCTTGATTATCATGCACATTGTGTAGAGAGTTGTCACTTTGGATGGGCTATTACCAGCAGGAGAGTGAGTTTGTGTGTGGGGGGGGTGGAGGGTGAGAAAACCTGGATTTGTGCTGGAAATGGCCCAACTTGATGATCACTTTAGATAAGGTATTACCAGCAGGTCAGTGGGGTGGGAGGAGGTATTGTTTTATGATCTCTGTGTGTATATAAAGTCTGCTGCAGTTTCCACGGCATGCATCCGATGAAGTGAGCTGTAGCTCACGAAAGCTCATGCTCAAATAAATTGGTTAGTCTCTAAGGTGCCACAAGTCCTCCTTTTCTTCTTTGTGGGAGGTTACAGGCAGCTCCTCCCCGGACAGGGGCAGCCTGGGGGAAAGTGTGAAAGCATCTGTGCTAAAAAGCCTGTTTCATTTGCCTTGGGCCCTGCAGTGACGAGGGAGGAGTTGGCACCGGGGGGTCAGCACCCAAGCCTTGGCTGGGATGATTTAATTGGGGATTGGTCCTGCTTTCAGCAGGGGGTTGGACGAGATGACCTCCTGAGGTCCCTTCCAACCCTGATATTCTATGATTCTGTCATTTCAAAATTTAGAGTTTTTACGATTGTCTCTGAGTGAATTTACCCACATGCCCAACGTGGCGCCTGCCAAGGCTGCAATTTCAGGGCAACGGGAACCAAGAAGTGGAAAATCTGTGGCTAGAACGAGTAATTGCTGGTGTCGCTCCCTGTCGTTTCCTCGTGAAGAGTTAGATGGGCTCTGCCCTGGCCCTGCTATCGGCTGGGGCCTGAAATAACCATTCCTTGAGCTCCCCTGCAGAGAGCGTAAGGCACTGGGGACCCTGGGGAGCTTTATCACAACTTGGCCTCATTCGCTGGTGAAATAAAGAAAACACAAAGAACAGTGTCAGTCAGGATCCCCCGCCCACCCCTTTTATGGCTGAATTAAATTCAATATGATGTCATTTTTAGGGTGGGTGGGGGAGCTCAGTGGAAATGGGGCTCAGAGCTCAGTTATGGTGAAGTTTCCTCCCGATGGAGAAAGGCAGCATTTTCATGAGACTTCCCAGAGCGTTGAGCTCCGAGCTCCGGCGGGGACAGGGTCTTTACTTGGATCCTTTCAGCCACGTCCTGACGTTTCTTCCTTTCAGGGGCTGCGGGTTTTTATCTGGGTTTGAAATGGCTCCCTCCGTAACCACCTCCAGCACTCGTAGAGCGTCAGCAGCAACATCCTCCAGGAAATTCTGCAGCATGAGGTATGTGGTAGGGAGCGAAACTGCTGCCGATACCACGGAACCTACCACAGGTATAAATTTTAAAAAAGTTTTTGAATATTGAACGGCCCCAGCTGCGCACTTGGTCAGTATCTTTATTACAAGATCTTGTGTTATTGCCTCACTCAGTGGGGACTGTATAACGGCCTTCAGCTCTGCAATGGGCTTGTTATTGTGTCTAGCGAGTGCAGCGAGAGACTTTTCATCAAGGCCGAAGTCCCTCGTCATACAGATGTTTCTCATTTGCCAAATCCTGGTCCACCTTGGAGCGCACAAAGTAAAATTTCTTCCCCTGTCTCTGGATCTCCTGGGTGAGGCTAATGTCGTGGTATTTGAAGCGGGGGCTGGAGATGATGATGAAAAAGTCGTAGCGGCTGAACTTCACCTGCTTGAGGTACGTGTCTGGTTTAAATGTTGGGGTATCGATCCCTGGCAGATCCCAGACTCTTACATTTGGGTATGTAGGATGTGGGTAAGCAGTGGGCTCCTTTGTCGTTTCAATGACCCCTGTCGCAGCAGCACCTTCATCTCTATCCCCCAGACCCCGGATGGCGTTGACAAAGGATGATTTTCCAGAGCCCGCCTCCCCCGTGACAGCGATGTCCAGAGTGATTTCATCAGCCATATCCAGAGTCTCTTTCGCTTTAACAGCTGCTTCGATGAGGTTTCCTGTCCCAAGAGCAGCCTTCAGTGCTTCCACATCCTCTTCAAGTATCTTGGGAAGCTCTTTAGCATCTAACCCAGCCATGGCAACTCCAGTGCACTGCTCAGTCTGCCTGCGAAAAGACAGGGAGATATTCCACGTACGGTTAGTTTAGACAGAAGACAGATGTCAGCTCACATGAGTGAGTCCAGTGGAAGTTTGGGCAGGAAATGGGAAAGGTGAAGTTAAGGTGACACTTTCCACTCAGCTCAAGCACATAACCTTAATTCTGCCCCCATAGGAATGCCAGGAGAGACACCCCCTCTGGTTTTCTGGGGATGGAAGAGCCCACACAACATGTGACACATGAAATCCCAGAAAAGGATTAGTATTTTCCCAACAGGAAGCCAAAGAATTTCCTTAGAGAAAGAAGAAGATTCCCATGAAGTGCTTGGAATGGGTAATGGCTCCCAATCAGCCTGCTGGGGCTTTCCCCACCCTGCAGAGCTCAGCGAGTCCACAGGGAAGGGAGGAAGAACTCCAGACCCCTCAAGCCTTCTGCTCACTACAGAATCGCTAGCCCTTCTTCCCACCTTTGATCTAGAGCAGGAATCTCTTCCTAGAGCTTCCAGGAGAGCCAGAGTGGGTGGGAGAGGGGACTGGGTGACTATCAGAGGCTTGGAAGAAGGCAGGGCCATTTTTCTCCCTTCCTGAGATCCTGTGTGCATGATGGGAGAACCCCCACGGGGCCTCAGGCTCATTAGTTCTAGCAGTGTGTACCCTGGAGCTTTGGTTGGCTGGATGTGAAATTTTTCACAGCCCTGAGCGATGTAATTAGGTCGACCTAACTCTGCAGTGTAGACCATCTCTTAGAGGAAGCAGAGGGACAGAGTTTCTTGGGCACAGAGCCCACTGGAGGGCAGGCACGGGGATTTTGGAGCGAGGAAACTGCCTGTGACTGTTTCTGCTATGTTCAGAAACCACAACTGTGTGTGCGCTCTGTGCAAATAAACAGGATCACACCAAGAACAGACCTGACTTGTGTCTTCGATTTCTCCTCCCAATGCAAATAGCCCTGCAAATAATGGTGAACCCCATGGCCCCAAGAGACAACAGTATTAAGTGGGACTTTCGTTTTCACAATCTCCCTCATTCATTCCCTGTCTTTTATGGAGAAACCCCTGCTTGCCAGTCTGTAGGATGGCGTCGGAGATGGTATGAATTGTCCTTTTGGGGGAAAGTGGGACAGTTAGTTTAGACGAGCTGGACCGGCTGCTGCTGTTGATGCTGTCACAGGCTGACCCTGCTTAGTTTTAGGCAAATCCCAATGCCCTGCTACTGACCCAACCTGCTCAATTCTGTACGGAAACGATGCAGACTGGAACCTCCAGGGGCCGTGGGCACCTCGTTCCTTTGATCAGCCTCCTGGGGGAATCAGACCCAGATCTCCTCAGATCACAATCACAGTTCTCCTAATCGGCTCCTGCTTATTCTTCCCTCATTCAGGAGAACTACAGTGACTGCAGCTGGAGTTCACACGGACAAGTCCCAGTGGCTATTGGCAGCACTGAGGGGTGGGGGCAGAGCTAAGATAAAGCATTTACCTTAACTCTGCATTTCATGGTCTTCAGACATATGAGTGAAGGGCCCAAGGTATCGCTGGGCACCTTTTCTCTGTGTTAATGAAGGTTTTTGCTGCTTAATCTATCCCTGCCCACCTCCCTGCACCACAGCGCCCCCTCCTGACCGTCCCAAACTTCTTCTGAGCCCTGCCCCCCTGCAGCATGGCACCCGTACTGAGCACCCCGCCCCACAGCAGGCACCCCAGACTGAGGCCCCCGCCCAGCTCCTTGCAGAACAGCGCCCCCTACTGAGGCCTCATCTCACTCCATGCAACATGATGCCCGTAACTGATGCCCACCACCCTTCTCCCTGCAGCTCAGCTCCCCTGATTAACATGCCAGCCGGCTACCTGCAGACCAGTGCTCCCAGCTGAGCCTCCTGCCACGTTCCCTGGGGCACTGCGCCCCCTGTGAGTCCACCAACCTCTCCTTGCAGCACAGCACCCCCTACTGAGACCCAACCCCACTCCCAGAAACACAGCACCGCCCAATTAGCCCCTGACCTGCTCCTTGCAGCACAGTGCCCCCTACTAAACTGTGGAAGGCATGTCACCCCCCACTACACCCTCCTCCCCTCCTGGTTGCACCTATGGATTAACAAGCCGCAACCCAGAAAAGAATCTCTCACCGTTAGTCCCGAAGCACTTCAGTTCTTCTGAGCTTTATTGAAGTAGAACAGATGGGCCAGTCTCCAGCTGTGATATCTTGGCACACAGACACACACACACAGATCTCCTGCTTATATACTGAGCAGAGACATTGTTCTGATTAATATCGAAAGTGAAGGTAACAAGTCACAGATCGGCTGCAAAGCTCCTCCCTGGCCCCGCAAGACAGACTGCCTAAGCTGGCCTGTTTGCTTCCTCTTCAGAGACGGTAAACAGTGTAATTGCCACAGTTATGTTACCACACAGCTCTTTCTCAGCAGGCGCATTTATTCTTAAGCTAAATACAATACAGATAAACCATATTAAAAACAATAAAAATCCTACACACATGCCAATAAGCCCATCAGAGATCCTCCCAACTCCAACAAGAGCTGAGCTCTGGCTGGTGAGCAGCCCTTCAAACCCCACCCACGGGTTTTTCTGGGGTCACAAATTCATAACAGCTTTTGCTCAGAATAAGCACTGTGTCTTATGGGCCTCAGAAGGCCCAGTCCTTGCAGCCCTTCCCTAAGGATTGGGGAACCCTTGGCATGGAGGTCTTGTCCATTTGCTGGATCCGGAAGAAGGCCCAGAGTCAGATAAAACTCAGGTTATTTATTCCAAAATTCTTTCTTTGTCTTTTAGTTCCTGGAGAATCCACTTTGAGCCAATGAATGCCAACTTCTGCAGGTAGTGGTGCTGCTCTGGAGACGTTACAATCTGACTGGCTTTGCCAAAACATCCCCACTGTTCTCAGGCACTGTAGTTGTCACGGAGTGTGGGGGAGTCCGGTTAGTAAATGGGGACACACTCAGGAGGATCCAGAGTGCCGAGGAAGGCCGACGCCTGCCGAAAGAAACGCACCCGGTCCAGGCCCTTGTTCGGGGCATAGACGTTGACCAAGTTCAACGCCAGTTCCTCTACGTGATCCGGACGTGCAGCAGGCGGCCTGGCCTGAGCTTGGCGACCCCCAGCACCTCGGGTCGTAGCTCGGGGGAGAACAGGGTGGCCACCCCAGCCGAATGGGCTCTGAGGTGGCTGAAATAAACCCCGTCCCCTCGCTCCAGCCTCCAGCTAGCCTCGACGGCTGGGGCTGTGTGGGTCTCTTGCAGGAAGATCACAGAGTACCGCCCTTCCCAAAGGAAGGAGAGCACCTGGCTCCTGCGGAGACCCACCCTACAGCCCCGGGTGTTTAATGTAGCAAAGATGGTAAATTTCCTAGGGAGGGCTGGGGCGAATCCTCATGGGCAGGATGATCAACAGCCTCCAGCGGGCCCTGCAACAACCCGCTTTCGACCCCAAAGGTCAATAGGGAGTTGCGGAACTTGTGGGCCCGCTGGTAGGCCGCGATGTTCTGCCTCCCGGTCCCTCTCCCCTCCCGCAAAAGGGCCTTCACGGCCCGGAGGACGCGATGGAAGTCCCCCCAGCGCTGGAGGGCGAGCTGCACCTTGCCCTTCGAGCCACGGGTGTCTGTTAGGAAGCAGCGCAGCTCATCCCTCAGTGCAGAGGGGGACGTGGCAGCCACCCACTGCCGTCCTCCGGAGGGGCCCCTGAGAGAACCTCGTGGCCTGCAGAGACGGGCAAACAAGGGGCCAAGCCCCAGTGCGGCTGCTCCGTGCAGCTCGTCCCCATCCCCGGCAAGGGAGGGGTCGGCGGAGGGAATAGTGCAGCCCCCACAATGTCGGGAAGGAGAGACACGAAAACTGCCCCCTGAGGGTTGTCCGTGGGCAGTGGAAACGAGACAACCTCGGCGATGGCAGCAGCATGGGAAGTGGAGAGGAGAGGGGCTGTCAATGCATTGGGGGCAGGAGTGGGGCCAGCCGTGGGCAGCTTGGTCTGCGGCTTGGCTTGTGCCAATGTAGCCCACACACCTCCTGGGCGTGGTGCTCTGTTCCGTCTAGTGGCACCGAGACCACTTAGAGAGAGAGAGAGAAAATGAGCCCAGAGGTCCCAGGTTCAATCTCGCCTGCTGACAACTGGGGTCTGTCGGCGTTACACCAACTCTGACTTTCTCTCCTAACGGAAGCTTTAGAAGCAGAGAGCCAAGCAACGTCCACTCCTTCGCCCTGCCAGGACAGCAGACACGCTCCATTTCCAAGGGGCTGCCTCTCAGTTCCATTGCACGCTCCCTTCTCCTTGTACTGGGGATCCAGGTGGGGAACCGCTTTCACCCCCTCACCCGCGCTCTCTGCTTTGTTTCCCAGCCCCGCGATGCTCTCCCTGTTCTTCGGCACAGAGAGCGAAAGGGAGAGGCTAGTGCGCGCTGGCCAGCCCCTGCTGGACTCCCTGCAAGGATGCATCTCGGCCACCCACACGCTGCTCCGCATCCTCACCCAGCACCTTGACACCAGCGTGCCCCTCGACCCGGTGGGGGGCGACATCAGTGTGGGGGAGAACCTGGAGCACCTGCTGCGGGCGGCGCAGGAGATGCACGCCACGGCGGAGCAGACGGACAGACGTGCGGAAGAACACCAGCCGGGACCTGTACGCCCGCATGGCCTCCCCCCACACCTCGCTGCAGGAGAAGGGGGCCATCGTCCGGGGCTTCCACCAGGCCACCCTGGGGATCTTCGGCAGCGTGGGTGGCCCCGTGGTGGCCGTGCTGCTGCGGAACGCCGGCCTCCCCGAGCGGCTGGAGGCGGCTCTGCGGGAGGCGGAGGCCTCCCCGGTGCTGCGCCTGCCGATGGACGCCCTGCGCCGGAGCAGTGAGGAGATCGCCAGGAATGTGTCTGCTTGTGCCGCCCCTGGGGGCCCAGCTGGGGAAACGGCTGCAGGGCCCCCCGAGAACGGCCCCTTCTCCGGGACCGGCGTGATGCAGAGCCTGGGCGACTACCTGCCTGACGCCCTCACGGGGCACCGGGCTAGGAAGTCTTAGTCTGAGTCTCAGTGGTTTGTCCCGGCTGGCGTGCTGGCCCAACAGCCTTCGAACCAGACTCTCCTCCCGGCCCCTGGTGTAAATCAGGAGTGACTCGGGGGGAGGTCCCCTCTCTGATGTAAATCAGGAGTAACTCCATGGGTGTCAAGGGGCTGATTTCCCCCTCCCTCTGGTGTAAAGCAGGAATAACTCCCTTGGACTCAATGGGGCTGATTCCATCTCACTCACCCTGGTGTAAATCTGGAGTAACTCCAGGGAGTCAATAGGGCCAATTCCCCCTCTGTGATGTAAATCCAGAGTCACTCCGTGTGTGTCAAGATGCCATTCCTCCCCCCGGTGTAAATCAGGAGTAACTCCACTGGAGTCAATGGGCCCGATTCTCCCTCACTCACCCTGGTGTAAATCAGGAGTAATGCAAAAAATGCAATTTTCGAAAACGATTTTTGGGTTCAACTAAAACAAAAACATTCGAGGTTTGGGTTAGAAACAGGGAAGAAAGGCAGCGAATATTCTCCTGCCATGTTCAAAATACTGAACCCTGCTGGGTTTTAACGGGAAAACAAAAAGCTGAGTCACAAATGGTCCGGTTCCCGCTTTTCCTGCCTTTTTTTTGGGGGGGGGGGGGGGGGGGGAGAGGCATTGAAAAAAAGAAAAAAACCAAAATTTTCCAAACCTGTTTTTGGGAATAGAAAAACCAGTGTGGAGGTTCCCTTTTTTGAAAACCGTCACCTGACTTTTCCTTTTTACATCGAAAAGGACCCCTTGGTCCCAGCTTTGGGTCCCGTTTTCTCCCAGGTTTTCCAAACCGCCTCGGTTCCCGTGCAAACGGGGAGCCTGGACGTCCGGACATCAGGGGCTTGGGCCCTCCAATGGGGGTTACACAGACCTCTCCCGCCCCCTGACTTGACCCACAATGACTCTTCCCCACCAACGCAGCCCCCAACCCTGCCGTGCGCTCCATGCGCTGGCAGCTCCCCCTGCTGGGCCCGTTCTGTGGTTTCAGCCCCAGGCCAGGCGTTTACATGGCATCCGCTTCAAGCAGCTCCTGGTTCGGGTGCCCATTGCCCTCGCTCCGGGCTCCAGCCTTCTGCCCCCACTTCTGCCAGCATTTCCTCCCCAAATCTCCCTCGCTGCCCACATCCCGCTCCCCAAATCTCCCGCGCTGCCCCCCGTCCCTCTCCCCAAATCTCCTCCTCTCCCCCATCCCGCTCCCCAAATCTCCCAGGCTGCCCCCCTCCCCACACACCCCGTCCTGCTCTCCTTCTGCATAGTGGGTCAACCCCCCCATCATTTTTGTGTTTGGCCAATGGCGGTGGGGGGCGGGGTGGGGGGGAAGGATTAAGAAGATCCTGGCCCACCCGCCATTTATTTAAGTTTTTGGAAACTAATATTTTTAATGGAACACCCACCATTTGAACCCAAAATGTCACCGTTGCCAAATGGTTGAAGCCATCATTTAAATATCTATGTATCTATCTATCCGCATACACTCCCTCCCTCCCTCTATCTATCTATCTATCTATCTATCTAAAGTTTGAGCCACAAGTGTTCTTGGTCCAGTTTTTCGCTCTGTGTGCCGGGGGGCGACCTGTGGCCTATTCTGGGACCTCCTACCCCCCAGGCTGGGCAGACTCAGGAGTCCAGCCCCACAGGGCAGCCAGGGGCTGTGTGAGTCTGAGCTCATTCCCCAGGGGGGGATGGTCAGGTCTGGACATTGACCCAGCCCGTGGCGCTTTGCCTGGGCTGGACCAGAACCCACCCGCCCTACAGCGGGCCAGCCCCCATTACGGTCTCACTGTGTCACCGGGGAAGCCACGCGGCTTCACCGTCTCCTGGGACCGAATCTCAGCACCTCCAGCCCCCTCCCTCCAGCAACTCCACTTGAGATGGGCACCTGAGGGAGATGTGTACCCCCAAAGGGGGCACTGCCCCCCCCAGCATCAGCTGGGGCTCTCAGCCGGCGGGGGAAGGGCAGGCGAGTTTCTCAGGTGGCTACACCCAGCATGGCCAGTCCTCGGTCAGCCCAGAGAGCCGGAAGCTACAGCCTGGGCCATGGGCAGCTCCGAGCCCCAGCCAAGCATGTCCGCCCTTGGCTCCCGCTCTTCCAGCTGGCTTCCTGCAAGGGGGGGTCACCCTGGGCGTTAGTTGCTAGGTCAGAAATGTCCCGGCAGGTTGGCTTTGCCATTGTCTTCATGGACTCGCCAGCGACACTGGCCCCAAGTCGAGACAGCCAGGGATCTGCCACCCCTGGGTGGCAGCCTGCCTGAGAGAAAACAGCCCCTAGGGGCCAGCGAAGCACATATGGGAAACTGAGGCACACATGGTCTTCATACAAAGTAGTGCAGACACTTTCCACTGCGCTACTCCATGCAGGTACAACCTAAGACTCACAGGAAATATGCGTGAGCAGAGCTCCCACGACTGCTGGCTAGCATGGACACAACCATGGGACTGAGTAACTCCCCCACCCCCATGTGTCTTGGGTGTGACGGAACA